CTTGTCCGCTAAATGTTTGTTGTAGCAAGTTCGGCTTCTGCGGTTGGTTCCTACTCTTCATTTTTCATCTCAACCTCATCTAATTATCTGCTACAGGAACCACCAAGGACTTCTGTGGCGATTCCACCGTCGTTTCTCCCCAATGCGGCGGCACCAGTGCCAAAAAGCGCACAGTCGGGTATTACGAGGGGTGGAACTTGGAACGCCCATGTGGAAGTGAGTTGCTCGAGACTAGTCCTTCGACTCATCACTAACACAGCTTCTTACAGAAATGGGACCAGCCGATATCCCTCTCGGCTTCTACACACACATCAACTACGCATTCGCTTCAATTGACCCTCAGTCATTCCGCATCACTGCCATGGACAATCTCACTGCGTCATTGTACCAGGGCGTGACGGCACTCAAGCGCCAACAGAGTAATCTCGAGGTGTGGATTGCCATTGGGGGATGGGCATTCAATGACCCGGGCCCGACTCGAACCACTTTCTCTGATCTAGCCGCTTCCGAGGCCGCTCAGGATACGTTCTTTGGATCCCTGATTAGCTTTATGCAGAACAATCGGTTTGATGGCGTTGATATCGATTGGGAATACCCTGTGACTGACGAACGGGGCGGGAAACCCGAGGATTATGTCAATTTTGTGACTATGGTGAAGAGACTGAGGGAACGGTTGAACCAGACAGGAAGGAAGTATGGAATTTCCATCACTCTGGTAAGTTTGTCTCTCCTCCTGATACGCATGGTGTTAACGTCCTGCAGCCGACGTCCTACTGGTACCTGAGGGGATTCGATATTGTCAATCTCGAGCCGCATGTGGATTTCCTTAACGTCATGTCTTATGATATTCGTAAGTGGGATGCGATTCTGGATCAGATTAACCTCACTGACTGATCTACAGATGGCACTTGGGACTCCACGAATAAGCAGCTTGGACCGTACGCCTTCGCACACACTAATCTAACGGAGATTAACAGCGCCCTAGAGCTTCTCTGGCGCAACAACATCAATCCGGAGAGAGTTAACCTTGGACTAGGCTTCTATGGCCGCAGCTTCACGATGAAGGATCCCGGGTGCAAGAAGCCTGGCTGTGAGTTTTCTGGAGGGGCGCGAGCAGGCGAATGTACCGGCACACCAGGGGTGCTGGCCACGTATGAGGTCAACAAGATCATTCAGAAGGGCGGTACCGACGTGACTCTCGACAAAGACGCGGCGGTTACCATCGTAACCTGGGACAAGGATCAATGGGTTTCCATTGATAACCAAGAGACCTTACGGATGAAGATGGACTATGCCAACAAGCGGTGCCTTGGGGGAACTATGGTCTGGGCAATTGATCTGGATGATGGAACCATGATCGACGCTCTAGGGGGTGCTATGGGAAAGAACAAATCAAGGATTTTCCCTGCTCGGCGCAATCCTATTCCTGAAGCTGGAAGAAGAGATGTTGATGATGTTCTGGGGTGGAAGAAGTGGTGGAAGGAGCATAGGAATGAACTGTGAAGGACGGCTAGAATCTGAGGGGTGTATGCATGTTATGGGTGGATTTTCAAGATAACTAATGGATAATTGAGACTGTTTAGCTTATGGATGTTATTATCAAATTTGAACCAGTTGTTTATTCCGCTTCATACACCAGAGAGCACAAGGACGAACTGTAAATGAAGGCTGGATATGATGGGATCGGGCAAGTTATGCGTGGATGTCTAGACTGTTGGAGAATAATTGTGACTGTGTAGTCTAAATATGTCATTAGCAAGCTTCTGCGAGCTCAAAATAACTAATAACAAGAGATTATCTCCAATAATATCGTGAAGCTGTAGAAGTGATGGAAGGAGCACAGGAATGAACTGTGAATTAGTGTTGGAATGATATGAAAATCTGCATGTCCAACGTGACTTTCCAGACTTCTGTAAGTGATTCACACTGTTTACCCTACAGATATGATTGACAAATTTGAGAAAGCTCACGTTAATCGACACTTCCAAATAGTTATCGAACTATGAGCTATATTAGAGAATATCCAGGCACGTGCATGTCTTGTGAATTGCTAGTAGTGAACCAACAACCACTTTTCTAGTATATTGGAGAGACCGAAAGTGCTTTCACATTCTCTATTTATTATGATTGTCTTCTTTCTATACCTTCCGTCTTGCCATTACGCCCCAATAACTCTCTTCCTCCTCAAGTTCACCATTTCGAACCATTCGAACACCATGCCACTTCCAAAAATGTGGGCAATTATCCTTCCAATTCTCCTTCTTCAACTACTCATTTCCCCCACGGTCAATGCTGGCCATCCTGAGTGGGAGCATGCTCGGTTCATGCTTCCCGAATGGTTGTCAGTCAAGCCAGTAGAGCCCTGGAGCCGCCTTTGGCCCGACAAGACCATCAGACTGTGCTACGAAAGCGAGGCAACCTGGAGAAAATATCATAAGTACTACCGGAGTGCGATGAGATTATGGTATGCGGCAGGGCTGCCTGAGGATTTCAAAGTGAGGGAGGTTGGCGCAGATGGATGCCAGAACACGCCACATGAACAGTTGCTGGTCATCGATACCCCCGAGTTGTTTGCCACAGATGTTGGCTTGCCCGCTCTGTCCTACCTGAATCCGAACAATTATCCGGCCCCTCATAAGCCTGCAATGTGGGTATCCTTGTACTACAGGGATTCAGAGGAGTTCCGAATCGCTACCTTTGCTCACGAGCTCGCACACTCATTTGGGATGTATCACGAGCACCAAAACCCTTATTACTGGATACCGGGGCGCCAAGTGTTCAGCTTCAACTGTGACCAAATGAAGGATTTCGCAGAATTGACCCAGGGAATGTCACACGAGCAGATCTGGGGAGACAATGGTGTCTGCACGAGCTGGAAGGCGGCCCAAGCCGTTGGGTTTCCAAGTTATGATTACCTTCCTATGCCGTTTGATGAAGTCATGTCTCCCCATGGAATATGGTCAAACAGAGCCACCGTTGATTTTGACTCTATCATGCTTTACGGTTCTCACCTGGGCGGGCAGTTTGATTATTCAGTGGTCATATCCTTGGCGGACGGGACAATTTTCCAGGAGACAGAAGACCCCAGTGTTGAAGATGTAGATGGCTTGAAGCTTCTCTATGGTACTGTGTATGGACTTCCAGTAAGGACTCTGTACAACGATCCCAGAAGCCCTTACTTCTCGATATTCAGAATGTACGCCGGCTGTTCGAACTAGAAGTCACTCTTCGCCAATTGGGTGTGGTAGGAGACGGAAAGTGTGGCTTTACATGTTCGTTCACTGTTGGGGGGAAGGAATTTGGAAGTATGTAGTTTGAGTTAATGTGGGGAATGGCAAAAAGAGGTTGTAGTTAATCAATTTATTACCTGCTAGCCCGTGATTCTGGCTCAATTTCACCCCTTCACATTATCTATTCACTCTTTCTCACAATTTAACCTCTGTAAAGCTGCCATAAATTCTACTGCTTTTTACTCCTCCCTCCCTCTCTTTTTCTTTCCCTCACCACCTCCCTTTCTGTTCCCCTACAGTCCCTACAGATTCTCTCACTACAACACCGACCAGGAACTATCCACCATAATGGGTACTCTTCCTACATGGCTGTCTGCCCTGCTGCTACTGCTATGGACTGCAGCTGCTCAATCCCCAGCTATCGATGTCGCTGGCATTACAGCAGATTCCACCCCTCATGGCCCAACCATGTCAGGAACCCCAGCTGATTGCAACCGATGGTTCACGATCAAAAAGGGTGATACCTGCTATGAGTTGGAAAAGGCGTTTGGACTCACCCCTCAGCAATTCCAGCAGTGGAATCCTGCAGTCTCCCGTGATTGTCTGGTCAACTTCTGGCCGGGCTACGCATACTGTGTGGGTGTTGGACCAGTAGCGATTCCAACATCTGCAGACACTGCTCCTCATGCCCCAACCATGACTGGCATTGCAGCAAATTGTAACCGGTGGTACACTGCCCAAAAAGGAGATTACTGTTATGCAGTAGAGAAAGCATTCGGGCTTACTCCGCAGCAGTTTCAGCAGTGGAATCCCGCTGTCTCTTTGGACTGTCTGGTCAACTTCTGGCCCGGATATGCTTATTGCGTGGGTGTTGGGCCGGCCGCAGATGGTCCTCATGGCCCAACTATGCCAGGAATTGCCCCAAACTGCATTCAGTTTTATACTGCCAAGAAGGGTGATACTTGCTACACAGTCGAGAAGGCTTTTGGTATCAGTCCCCAGCAATTTCAACAGTGGAATCCGGCTGTCTCTCTGGACTGCTTGGTCAATTTCTGGGCAGATTATGCGTACTGCGTGGGCGTTGGTCCGGTTGCCCCGACTTCGACTTCGACTGTGACAGCGACAGCGACTTCGGCTTCGACGTCAACGAGTTCAACCACTTTGACTACGTCCACCACTTCGACAACTGCCCTTCCAACCTCCACCACTTCTACTGCTTGGACTACTGGCACGTCGACCACTTCGACAACTGTCCTTCCTACATTTACTACCTCGAGTACGTGGACTACCGGCACGTCGACCACTTCGACGAGTTTGTCACCTACGACTGTTTTCATCACGTTCACCACCACACTTACTTTGACCTCAACCTTGACTTCGAATGGTCAGACTACGGTAATAGTTACTACCACTGTGACTACAACTGTTAGCCCGTCTACAACTCTCGGTACTTCAACTACATTGACAACGGCCCTGCCCCCATCGAGCACATCTAATCCCACCACTCCGACCTCAAGTGATTCCACCACTTCGACTACAAGTGCTTCGACCACTTTGACTACTTCGACCACCTTGGGGACTTCTAAACCTTCTACCACCTCCAGTCCCACCACTTCAACTCCAAGTTCCAGAAGTTTGACTACTTTGACTAGTCCAAGTACTCCTACCACTCCCACCACTCCGAGAACTTCAACCCCAACAACCCTCCGTTCGCCCTCTATCACACCTACTCCTAGCTCACGCCCACCAATTAGCCCTCTCCCCAGCACAATGGTCACGTCCAACGCGACCTACTCAACCCGCAACCCCATCACGTCATATAACCAGACCATAACTCCCATTGACACCGCATGGCCTCCGACCAAGACCCATCCCGGCCAGCCCAAAGACTGTGACAAATGGTATCTGGTTGCGCCAGGAGACACCTGCAGATCAATTTACCAGCGCCACGGCAACAGCATTACCATGGACGAGTTGTAAGTACTCATCCATCCTACCCGAGTCAGCCCTAACTAACATACACAACCCCAGACTGGAATGGAACCCTGACCTTAAAGCAGACTGCGACTACCCCATCGCCGGCTACTGGGTGTGCGTGGGTATCAAACGCCCCGCTCTAACCATAATCTATCCCACCACCAACGACACAGTCCCCGATCCCACTCCCTGGACGCCGCGTCCCACTCCAACGGAGACATCCGTCTACCCACCCACCAAAACCCAGCCCGGTCTCGCCCCAAGCTGCTCTGCCTTTTACGAAGCTCAGCCTGTAAGTCTCCTTACCTACCTACCTACCTACCACCACACAAACATACATACACACTAATACTAACCCAACCAAAACACCAGTCCGACACCTGCGACCAAATCCTCGCCAGCAACCCCATGCTGAAATTCCCTCTCCTGTTGGAATGGAACCCGGCCCTGAAAGCAGACTGCTCCGGTATCCTACCAGGCTACTCCTACTGCATCGCAGCCTACAACGACACCAACCGCCCCGCCCCGCCCACCGTCACTAATCAGCCCTATCCGCTAAAGCCAGGCACAGCCAAGAACTGCACGGCCTGGTACAAGAAGGATGATGGTGATACGTGCGACTTGATCGTGGAGATGTTTGGCACGTTCGATAAGGCACAGTTCGTGGCGTGGAATCCTGATATCGGTGTTCAATGCTATGGTTTGGAGGTACGTGTTTCCCCTTCCCCATCTCTTTCTTCCTTCATTTTTGTCCCGCTATCTAACACAGCTCGCGATATGAAATAGAACGGTTACTACTACTGCGTCGCCGACCCCAGCACTCCCAAGACCCGGACAAGGCCCGTAATTACTGCCATGACCTTCCCCACGGCCCGTCCGCGTCGTCAATCGGGAGTTACTAAGGACTGTAATAAATGGTGGCTTGTGTCGATGTGAGTAATCCTTCTCTCCCTTTTACCCTTATTCCCCCATTTCCCAGTTAACATTATAACTAACTAATATACTTTGTATGGACAGTCACGACGACTGCTACGACATCATGCACTTCAACGGCATCACCATGGCAGATCTGTATACCTGGAATCCGGCTCTCTCGGGGAAGAGAAACTGTCTTGAGGGATTGGTTCCTGATACGGAGGTTTGTGTGGGAGTGATGTCGTCGTCGTCGTCTGCTACTACTACTCCTTCGAGTACTGTTCCCGATGCTTCTTTTAGGACTGGGATGGTTACAGTTGTGGGGGGAAGAAATTAATGGTAGTAGTTACTGATAAGAAGAAGGGTAGAATGGAGGATGGATAATTTGTTGATACATTGGTAATATGTAATTTTGATTATGTCGCTATGAGATATTACAGTTTTTGTATGTTCGTCTCTACCATTACCAATCATTCAGTTTTTGGTCATATCTCATTAATGTGCTATACATCCTTGTCATCTTCCTCAAAAGCCATAGCAGTAGCCTGTGCAGTATATCGTCTAGCTATATTCAGATCTATGATATAAGCAAATCACCAATACGTCGTCACAATTTCTCTTCCGGGCCGGCCGTGCAGCAGATCCTCCCGAGTGTGCACCACAGTCCGCGCCTGCCGATCATGAACCAGGAAGAATTGTAGCCAAGTAACTCGGTGGTTCTCACATATCCACTTCCCATGAGCGCAAGCATTTCCAGGGCTAGACAAACATTCCGCTTCAATTTCCATTACTCGTTCCGCAATCTTAAGAGCTGCCATCCCTTCGCAGATGCCTTCGCGCCTTGGGTACTGTCGGAGTAGACGGATCGCGTGCCGCCTGATTGTTGGTTCGCGACAGCGGAATGCAATTAAGAATAATGGCTCCGTCGTGATTGTCTCCAGATGGAAGCTCATGTTTTGTGACTGGTCTATATTTGCAGGCAGGCTGTCTAAATGGATCCATGGGGTCTCCTAGAATGTCGCCCATCAGTTCGAGCATGTATGCATAGTCCTCGACGAAGTCATCGTGAGCTAGTTCGCCTTTTGTCAGGTCCATAGACAGTGCCACTTGTGCGAGTCTGCGTCGGACATAGAGAACTTTCAAAGGCCTCTCATCTTCTAGCTGCGGTATTATTCCGAGATACTTATCAAGCCTGGTATCCCATTCAGTAAGACCAAGAAGACACTGTTGTTTCTTGATCTGCATCCCAGCATCTGGAACATCAATATATATGGAATTGTTGGTAAATATTTGCATCATCCTGTTGAAATGCACCTCCAAGGCAACGCACGCCTCTAGCAGAGACTTGAAGGGGGTGGTAGACGACGACAAAATGATCTGCTTGTCCGTCCATTGAAGGTTATTCGAAAGACTAGGAAGGTAGGGGCGCGCTTGTGAGTCGAGTTGGGTAAACAAGACAAGCAACACATCCAGATCTGAATCCTCATCTCTCTGGTCTTCACCTCTGTCCGCCAAATTCCACTGATGAATTAGCTTCAGTCCGCCGTTGATGTGCACTAAAGCCTGCCACAGACGGCCCTGCAGACTTGACATGGTAATAAATAAGATGCAAACACTCAGGATGACCAGTCTATCGAATTTGGTCAAAACCTGTCCTGACAACAGTTTTTGCAGACTTTGGATGGATTTGTTCCACTGTTGCAACGCCAGCCTCACCTGGGGGCTATCCTGCATCCTTGACATGGTAATCGGCGTGCTGTTAGCTATGAAGTCTCGGTGAATGCAGGCCACCGCAGTCATGGCATGCCACAGGGCCGGGTATCGGTGCGACATTTGGAGCAATCTGCGAGCCCAGCGGCCCTGGTCGAAGAAGCCAGCCAGATTGGGGGTAGTGACTGAGTGAAAGAACCGAAAACTCTCGGTTTCTACAGGGTTACTTGATACTACCGCCCAATAGGAAGGCATCTGTACCACGCTGAGGACCGTAGTGGGCGGCCCTCGGGGGACTGAATTGTAGCCATCGCACTTTCTTCCGGTAGAAGAGCATCGCTGGCAACTGCAAAGTCATAACCGTCAGCGGGCTCTGACTTTACTACTTTTAATATGATCGGCCAGAGAAGCTTACTGACACGGGCTTTGTCTCGTCACATTTCACTCTCCGGATCCTGCCTGTATCAACAACTCATGTCCCAGCGGCAGAAATATAAGTCTTACCGGCAAGTCATACAACCGGTCTTCACTTTCGGAGCCCAGTGTCTTATGCGAGACTTTCCTGACCGGTTCAGACGCGAATTACTCTCTTCGAGTCCATTAATCAGGGACTTAGTAAGGTGTGTATTGTTCTTCAGGGATTGAGGATTTCGCATCTCGACACAGTCAGAATGGAGGAATCAGAGACCTATATTCAGCAGCAGAGCAAATTGCTTAGTGCATCAGACACCACAACAGGTGCCAGAAGTTTCGAAAGGCATATAGAATTAAAATGTCTAGGCTACGTGTGCGCATGTCGCTGAGTGAGCAAGGATGGGACTATCTAGACCGAAGGATCCCCGCTAACCGGATGTGGTAAAGTGTTTACTACTGCTGGATTGGGAAATCGCAGCCCTCGAAGATGCAGTTTAGGTGCGCCTCTCTATTCGTTTGGAGGGAGTACCACGGTCAAATGAGTAGCATACACTTAAAGCTTTTTCTAATTCATGTCTCCTAGGTATGTTGTATGTATGTAAGTATGCACTCACGAAAAGCCTAGAGGGACAACCCCATACTGTATCTTCTGAGAACCGATTCGAAACAGCATAAGCATAGAGATGATGAAAACACCTACAATCTTTGAATGACCCTTCCAAGCCCAATTCTTAAATAGGAAGGATCTCCTGTCCCCGCTGATGTAATCTAGGATGCGGGGACGTCCTCCATAGTAGTTAACAACTTACTATATCACTTCTCTCAGCCTTGCCGAAGCGCCTATACTCTTCCTCCTTTCTCAGAATAATCATTATGAGTCCGTCAAGGTTCGTTTCTTTTCCTATTTGCACCCTGCCAGCTGAGCTGTTGCTACTAATAGGCGCCTGCCTGGACTGCTCAGCCTTGTGTTCTCTCCGTCTCACCTGCAAAACCGTTTACGACTGCACCTTTCCTCTATTTCGCAAATACCTCGAAAACTTAACAACAGACCTGTCTCTTACATCACTTCAAAAACTTGACTCGTTATCGCGGAATCAAGAACTGTGTTCCCTCGTCCAAACATTAAGTATTGATGGCACAGAAGAGGATATCATAGGATCGGGACTTACGTGGGAACATCATCGCTCTGGACTCCTTGTTATTCCACAAGAATCTATTCAAAGGTGGCAAGGAGTCTTACTGCGCCTAGTAAATTGCCAGTCTTTTCATCTGCACAAATGGAATACCCCTGATGGCCCCGACCCATTCGACAAAACAACCCCTGATGATACTATCACAGTCCTGCTCAGCATTTTAATTGCAATAGAGCGTCCAATACGAGAGCTTAGTATTCTATTCAAACGGCCAGGTTTCTATTCGCTCGACCATCTCGACTTGTCCCGCGTTCACAACGGCCTCCTCCACGACCCAAAGTTCATCACTACGTGCTGTTCTACTCTGGAAGCCCTCACGTTCAAGTTTGAAGTGGAAGAAGAGGGAGAGGTTAACTTTGTGGTACACTTCATACACCATGCAAAGAATCGCTTAGAACGACTGACAATTGATTTTTGTTTTGGCGAATGCGCGGCGCCTCTTATGTTTCAAATGTCTTTGACGACACGGCCTCCCCTGAGACTACAAGAGCTGCATCTGATGTGTGGCAACGTAGACTCAGACCAGGATCTGATCAGGCTTTTATTTTCTTCCAAGCGGACCTTGGTCAAAATACACCTCGGCTCTTTCACTCTTGGTTCTGGGGCGTGGGCAGCCATTTTCAGGACTCTTTCCGAATTCTCATCACTCACCGATATTTCCGTGCGTCATCTGATGGGATATACGACGCAGAGGCAATATGGAAGGATACATTTTCCTGCGCTGTTGCGGGATCCTATCGTTGATCCTGTGCAGGGGACAAAGTTCTCTTATACTGTTACAGGGCGCCCAGAAAAACTGACGGTGGTTGGGGTTCAATATTCCGGACGAAGTATGGATATTGCACTACAGAAGTTGGCTGAATATGCAACATTTTTGCAGGGTCGGGACAGCGACTAATCCAGTCCCCATTGCTGGTATTATGGGATCGACAATTACTTTTCCTGCGACGCCACCTACTTCCTCTATTATTCTTATCTATGCCCAAGATGACACAATCAACAGAGATTGTAACTAGGTAGAAACCTTAGTCTTCGCCTTATCCTCCTCTTACTATAACCCAGTTCCGACCCCTGCCCAAAACTACGATAATCGGGATAAATTGTAGTACCTGTCAACTCAGCCATAGTAGTAAATCCTGGTACCAGAAAGATCTCTCATCTACCTCGTACTTCGGAATTATATGATTATCCCAAAGTCTATCAATACACATGGCTCACTTCATAACCACCTACTCGTATTTCTCAACTCCCAAAGCACAAGTACCACCTCCTATCCTACCAAAGCAAGCACCCCAAAATCTCACTTCCTGCCCAACCGACAACTACTACCCATCCAACTATACGTACCCATCTCCCCTACTACGTACTAATCATTCGTACCCACCAATCCATTCCCATACTTTCAATCCCCACCACCCACCCACCCCAGCTGAACACAACACAAAAGTACATGCATGCATGCATGTATGTATGTATGTATGTACCCAACCCTCAAAGTTTCCCACTACTGCAACTATTCCCTGATTCCCGGGTCCGATCCTTGCGAATATATGACGAGTTTTATTATTTCTTGACGTTTCAATGATGATGTACTAGTAATGGCTGGAGAAGTACCTTTCATGAATAACTACGTAGTTGTTACTATTTTGTAGTTAGGTGATGATCTCATGCTGCATATGTATGTATGTATGTAGGCACTAGGTAGAAATGCCGATGCCGCCATGCCTTGCTTGCTTGCCTGCTTGCTTGCTGGGTGCGTCTGCAGGATCTAATCTTACGTACTTTTTTTTTTTCTTTCACTTCTATTAGTTCTCTAATCCTTGTCGTTATGTTTGTTTTTGAGTTAGTTGGTGGGATGATTGGGCTGTGAACTAGACTAGACTGCTGATAAAGTACTAATACTAGGTTTATTATAACTACTAAGTTGGGTATCTCGAAGACTAAACTAATACAAAGGAAATCAAACAAATGAAAAAAAGGACACTATCGTACAAGGAATTGAAACCCATCCGCCTGATCT